ATTGCAAAACACAGTWGATGTACTCATGAGGGATAAACACCTCAAGTACATGAGCATATGAATACAATTATGATTTTATTTTTTGCATGTACGTACACATGCAGCTATACAGTTGTGGCAAAACTGTGCCTGTGTAGCCACAACATCTAATAACACCCTGTGTTARAACTATTACTTCAAGCTTATTCACTTTTTCTAGCTTTTACCCTCTATATCTCAGGCAATACTTTCTAGCAATTAAGGAGGGGTTTGTCAAATTTTTAAGCAGGCATAGCCACAGGGCAGAATTCAGAAGGACTGATGTTGATAATTTGAGAATAAACTTTGATGTTCTCTTCTCAAAAAAATAATTATGGTATTCCTGAACTGTAAGATCATTTATAACCAACAAACTATAAACTATAGAGCCTACTAAAAGAACCACTTATGCTTTCTCTTCGTCCAGGATCAAAAACTTAGCCTTTCCACCTGTTTCACCAAAGCTTAAAATCAGGGAAGTAAAACCTGCATCATGCATCTGGTAAGAAATTTACTTAGCAACTGACCTGCCAACTCTACTGAGAGTAGTAAGTTACCTTAAGTTAATGTTAATATTTGAAGTTTCTTTCCCATACTGTTTTGATTAAGAATTTCCTTTATTTTAATGAGAAACTCTACACATCAAAAGAAACTGTACTGCTACTGCTGATTTTAGGTGGACTTTGTATAATTTTTAATTAATTGCRTAAGATATGCAATTGTATCATTTTRTAAGACTAAAACATGCAATTTTATGTGGTAAATTTATAGATTATATTTCAGATGCAGCAATTTAAAGTTCGCATTCCCAAAAATCAAAAATATCTCCTTTTATTCAGTGCTTTATAGTTTTCCAGCTTTACCTCTTCTGTTAAGCACGTGGACTTCCTCAAGATAATAGATAATACTACTAAATGATAGAAAATAATACTATTATAATAACTACATGTTAAAGAATATACCATCTTCAAAGAAATCTGCCTACTGTGACTTTAAATACCACCTTGCACAGATTTCTTTGTGCTGTTTAAACACCAAGCAGTCAGGATGTATTGGTCCACATCACTGGGTGTGTCAAAAACTGAGACTGGATAAAAAAAAAAAAATAAGTTTGTGAGCTTTTTCTCAGGACCACAGGAAAACCCAGGCTGCAAGGGACCTCAACCTCGTGCTCAAATCAGGGTCAGCTCTTAGCTCAGACCAGGTTTCTAAGGCTTGATGCATTTGTGTCTTGAGAGCTCCCCAGGATGGAAACTGCAKTCTCTCTTGGTAACCCACTTCCCAACTGACCTTGTGGAGAGAGTTTTCCTTATACCCCATCTGAACCTTTTTTGTTTTAATTTATGTCTCGTGTCCTCCTGCCATACAGCACTGTTGAGCCTGGCCCCATCTCCCTCATTTTCCTCTAGATTGCAGAGGGCTGCTATCACATYATCCCAGAGYCTTCTCCAGACTGAACACACTCTGTTCCTTCAACAAACTCTCAGTGTCAAAGGTTTAAAAAGCTTCATTTTCAGTAATGTTAATGCAAATTCAAGCATTTATTACAGAAATGATAACCCTTAAGACAACAGTCTAAACTAAATTAAACAAGGGGACATGATTTGTGTGGCACYGATGTCTCTGAATCCTAGTGGAAATTAATGCAATCAGAACCTCRTGGAATCAAACCCTATTTGTACACCAGGAAAAACTATTTGCTGTGCTTACTAGGAATGTTTTATCAATATAGTRTGTGAAATGCTTGAATAGGCAAACTGAATTAGCAGCAGCTGTGTACCTGCTGAAAAGTTACTTGCTGCCCYTCATTAATGCTTCAGGTATACTGTAAAATAAAACTTGGAATACACTGCAGACCTCAAGGAAAGAAGTAAATGAGTAACCCTGCTGGAATGGTATTATGACATTAGTTTGCAAAACCAGTAATAAACTGGGGGCCAAGATGCACAGAAAACCAGATGGGTACGACTTCTTCATAATTTTAAAGATAGTTTCAATTGTCCTYATGTTAACTTTTGGATCCCCTGATGTACACACCAAAGCACATCAGGCCTTTCCATCAGCATAACATTGGATTTTTCTCTGCAACTACATATGGTAAAAATTGACCTTCTGCAACAGGTGCTCTATATTATGAGGTTATGTTACTTATCCCTTTAATGTATAAAGCCATAAAGTAATGAAGCTGTTTCCAAGGCAAATGGGATCACCCGCTCACTTCATCCTATGTCAGAATCGGAGGCATCAAGATGCAAGCCTGGAAGTGACTACAAACATATTAGTGTCACATACTACTTTGATTTATGCTCAACTACCACCTCAAGTCAGACTTTCAAGGCAAAGACGGAGCATTTAGTCTCTCCACTACAGCCATTGCTGCAGCTAGATGGCCACAATTCGTTATCAAAAGCTGCAATCCGTACTGAATACCTTGAACTCATAGAGCCTTCTGGTGAACTTRTTCAGCAGTGTGAAGAAAATGATGTGTCACTTGTGCCTATATGGTGGCATGAACGTGCCAGTCCTCACATCTGTAGCCTAAGAAGGCTGATTGTGCAAATTTTACASAGAGAATGTACGCCTCAGTTCCTTCATTCTGACACTGAAGGTCTTGCCCTCAAACTTACTGGTAATTTTCAGCATTACACATTCAGCTATGATTAGTCATTTTAAAAAATGGCATTTCACAAGGAAGCAATGAAAACAATGTCTAYTTTAATTCTTTAGCATGCCCACATCACCTAGTTTGTTTTAAAATGCCTGAACAAATGCAGAGCACCTGAGTGTTTACACAGCTAATGAAGTGATTTACCTCCTTTCCTAACATTATCTTCCAAGGAATTAATTAATGACTAAAGAAACCCACCTTAATTATTTTCATCTATCAAATTAAATCAAGGATACAGCCTATAGACTATATTAGCAAGATACTAGCTATGTTAAAGCTACCTAATGACTTTGCAATCTTCTCTTTTACCTATGGCTTTGCAGCATATTTCAATGCTGCATGGGAAATTTCATTTTCATGGGAAAATTTCAATTTTCATGGGAAAAAAAATCAGCATATCCATTGGCTCACACAGGAGTGCTAGGCCTGTCAGTAACAATCAGTGCATTAGGTGGACAAGGCAGAGACTGCAGAAACCAGAGGCGTACTTCATTTCTTATACATAATGTTGCTTTAAACAGGACAGAAAGGGAAGGTTGTGGTTGAGCTAGAAATAGTTCAAAGAAAAATGGGAGTTCTGACTGAACACAGGGACAAGGAAGAAAAATAATGCTGTGGCTTACTGAAACATTCACAAATATATCAGGTTTTATGCAAGTATGGTGATAAATCATAATTTTCTGTATCTTTGATTAATGCTGTACAAACACAGAGTGACAGCCAAAACCCTGGAGAGCTGACAGTCTAAACAGATGAGGCAAATAAAGGGTAAAGGGCTCAGACAGTTCTCACTTGCTCAAGGCCACATCACTTTCAAGTGGCAAGAGTGTCCTTTTACTGCTGTACCTATTGCTTCCTTCCATGTCTTCTACAGTAAAAAGACAAAGCAAAGATCGGTTTTGGGCAGGTGAGAAGAACCCAGTGAGATGCGGGTGCTGCTTTGAGCAGACAGGTTGGTCAGTCTGTGGTTTCCCTGTTACTTGGGGGTTTTTTGTAAGGCCATGCCAGAACATTCCTGACCCTGGAAACGGGATCCACGCCCTCTTTCCTAGACACAACAGGTACCTCCGAAGTGATATAAGACACAACAGTCTGCCCCTTCCTTGAGATGCATCATTCTGTCTCTGAGCATTGGGACTGGGGGAGCTCTTGGATGTTCCCCCTGAGCAGTGCAGACCCGTTTTCTGCCATGCCGAATCTGCCACTCTCCAGCTGCAGAGAGGGCAAACAGGGCTATGAGAGCATCCCAAGGCTCCTCCAGAGGCTCATCCATCCCAGTCCTGCCACCATGAGTAGCAACTGCACCACTCCAAGAGCCACACAGGGGACAGCATTGTTGGATGGGAGGAACACTTGCCATCAGCAGCAGAGAGGAACTGGGGAGACATCTGCCAGTCACACACCTGTTGTGTCCATATACCATCTGCAGAAGTGACCCCAGGAAAGCAAATAACTCACCCACATTTCTCCTCAGCTGTTAACTTTGGCATCAACCTGCAGCTGTGCAGTTCACAGACCTTCCTCAAAACCCAAGAATTACTGCAGCTGTTACACAGGGTGTAAAATGGCTGTGATGTTCCCCTGGTCTAATTAAAAAGCACCCGTGCTAACCCCATGCCCTTTGCCTTGACAAGGAAGACTTTTTAATCCCGAGATCAGCCTCACTAAGCAGAAGAACATAAACATGACATTTATAAAAGGACAGGGTCCACAGATGCTGACATGCCACATTAGAGCTAGCTACCAACTACTCCTCTTCCATTATTTAAAGTTATTTCTGAAATGACTCAAAACCTCTAAGCACATGTTACTGGGTTTTCCCCATAGTCTATTTTAGTACGGGGCAGACATAAGAGCTTTAACAAACTCATAGGCATAAAAAGGCTTGATGTCTGCCAGAAGACCATAATCTTTGAAGGTTTTTGGTTTGTTGGTTTTCTGTTTGGTTTTTCTTCTTAATCATTGAGAGTCCCATAAACAAGCAAATCTCCCCAAAGGAAATCATACATCTTCTCTTCCCAGTTCTCCATCCCCCCTCATTATTTCTTTTCCACAGAATTACTTCTTTACTACACATGCTGTCTGCAATGAAAGAGCCAGTTAAGAGGTAAAATCACACATCCTGCCTCTGAATCTCAAACAAATCTGTCGGGGATAGAAGTCCCCTTCGCAAAGCACAAATAAATCGGGGCACTAAAATCTGTAAACACAAATCGGCGAGCTACCGATCTGGCAAGGACAAGCCCCTCTGCTGCTCCGCATCGCCGGAAGGATGGACGAGTGGATTTCGGCGGAGGAAACCCGCTCCGCTTACCTTGATCATGCTGGCAGGCGTGGGGGATGTTCCAGCCGGGCTCTCGGCGGGATGGAGCCGGCGGATCGCCGAGCCCCGGGGGCGGATACAGCGGCGGCGGCGCTGCGCGGGGTCGGGGCCGGCCGGAGCGCCCGCTGCTGCCGCCGGGGCTGGGGCTGCTGCTGCTGCTGCTCTGAATGCCGCGTCCGAAGCTGCTGCTGCCGCCGCTGCCGGGCTCCGATTGCATCAGCGGGCGAGGGCGGCGCGCACGTCGGGCGCTCGGGGAGCTCGGCGAGGGGCTGGGGGCCGCCCCGCCCCGCTGCTCCCGGCGGCACCGACACTTCCCCCGCCCGCCGAGCCCTCGGGAAGCACCGGGCCGAGACCCCGCCCGCACCTTTCTCRCCACAGGGTCACCCCGGCCCTAAAATGGCCCCGCATCGTGCGCGGCGCCGACCGAACGGAGACAATTGAGTGCTTGTGCTGTAATTCAAACAGGGCGACACGTTCTCAGCCCTCTCTCCCTYAGCAAGCAGTAACCAATTCATCGTTTTCTGAGTCATTTCCTCTTGTCTCGCGTCCGACTCGGCTGACACACCAACACCTCAGTTATCGCTCCCATCGCCAGCTCTTCCCTGTTTCCCCCCGCCACCGCTCCGGGCACGGCCGGTCTTTAGTGTCCCAGCACAGCCCGGGGATACAGGGGGGCCAACACGACCCATTTTAGCTGGAATTCGTGGGGCTGCCATATGTTTACCGGCTGACCCGTGCCCCCAGTCCATTCTGAAGGTCTGGTAGGTACCTGCACAGCTCTGCACACCACTGCTGGCCATCASTCTTGCCCTGCCTCCGAGTTCTGGTACCTGGCAGGCAGCTGACCAACACCTGAAGACAAAAGAATAGACATAGCTGCCTGTCCACTATGCTGCTTCTGCCCGTGCTGCTGCCAGTGAAACGAATAAGAAAAAACACGAATTTTTAAGAGAAAATGCAAATGTCATGTTCACAAAGTGCTTACTTTCATCAGAAGTGATGTTACATTTTCTTCCTTTACTAATGTTTTTGTAAAGGTTTTCCTCTTYTGATATCCTTTAGAGTCGATGTAGGAAGTTGTTTCATCTCAGTGCGGCTGTCAGAAGTGCCAAGTTGTGCTTTGCACAAAGTACATGAATTATTCTCTCTTGTACACTGCCAGAAATAGATTACGTAAGTAGATTTTTGTTCCTGCTGCTCTTCAGCCAGGTAAAAAAGTGCCATTTAATGGATTTACAAGTACTTTGGATTCCAAAGGAACACAGGTGAGCAACGGTACCCAAGATGCAAATTCACATGAACAGTGATGTTTTACCAGCTATTTAGGAAAGGAAAAAGATGGAGCAAAAAACAGGAGGCAGAGAAAGCAGTGAAGAAACTTCAGGCAGAGACAACTCATCATCAGGGCACTACTCTCAGTGCTCATGAGAGCAATCCAATCCATTCACAAGAGTTATCTTCAGGTTACAGCCACAACATAGGAACAACCAGGCTGGGTCAGGSCAAGGGTCCATTTAATTCAGTATCCTGTCACTGACAGTACACAATAATAATGCCTATWGAAGAGTTTCAAGGAGAGAATAAGCATAGAGAGGCACTTTGCTCCATATACTGTTTCTACACTTATCCTCAAAGGGTTTGTACCACATCAGCTTCCTGAAAGGCAAATTCTCTAGGCTTAACAGTTCCTTGTGGATTTTTGTTCTATTAATTTATTCCTGGAACCTACATAAAATTGGATATCTATCRGATCTTGTGCTTGTTAGTTCCACAGTTTAGCTCTGCTCTGTGGAAAAACTCCTAATTTTACTTTATTCTGAACGAGCCATTTGAAAATTTCACATCATTCTCCATTTTTCTAATGCTGTGAGACTGCAAACMCAAATAAGGTGCATTTCACCCCCTACACATCACTTGTGATTATATAGACAATTGTCAAATCCTCTGTCAGCCATCTCCTTTCTCCAGATAAGGAGTTCTAATTTTTTTTTTGTTCGTTATAAAACAGTTCAATAACCTTGATCATCCTTGATTTCAGATGGGGATGTGAACTACACAAAACTCTCAAAAAGCAAGTCTTCATACTTAATTTGTCTTCTTCCCCCTCCTCTGTTTCTTTTCATTACAGGTCTGTTTCTATTTTGACTGTTCATGAGCACTAAAGTGAACAGATCTATTAATGTACAACTTAWTTCTAATTAATTCTAAGATTTCTCTGCTGAAAGGCAACACTTCATTCATAGCCCATCCATTTATATACATCTAGGGKTTTTTTTAGCTATGTGCATAATTTTATACTCACAGACATTATTATTATTTTTACAACTGTATGTTCAGTTTCACAAGGTCCTACTGCAGATAGCCCTAGTTTGGCTGAATTGTTTAACACCCTTACCCTGTAGGCTTTAAATCTCATCAGCAAACTTTGTCCTTTCTCTGTTTCCCTCAATTTCCCATTTTCTCAATTACAGACTCTCTTCTGTTGCTTATCTCTTACTCARTTAAAGAGAGCAACCATAAAAGCACCTTTCTTTTCTATGAGCCTTTGCTAAGAGACTTTGTCAAATGTTTTGAAAATCCAATTAGATTGTATCAATTAGACTTCTTCCTTTGAAGAAATTTCTAGATAGGCAGATCAGTATTTCCTTTCAGAAAAATCATACTGAATCTACCTCTATGGCATATTTATCCATAAATCTTTTTGTATTTTTCATTACAGGCTGTACATTTTCTCCAGACTCACTTCAGTATCCTGAATCCTTAAAAAACAAACAAACAAACAAACAAAAAAAACTATTTGAGTACCATTTTACTGTTTCCAGAGCTCAGTTTACCAGTCTGAACAATCAGCCTTTTAATAAGTTCACTGCAACATGCCCCACCATAGAGATGCATTTCAAATTATCCTTAAACTGCTGCCAGCTACTGAGGGACAGAGTAGATCCATGACCTGGGCAAAACTAAGAAATAGAAGGAAGAAAGGGAAAGAARAAATATTATCTGAACTACAGAGGATTTGTGCAAAGCCAAACTACCAAGTTATCTAGAATATGTAATWAAAAGAGATCTTTATATAGATCTTTTGCTTTCATTCAGGGCCAAGCTGACCCTAAACTTGCAAATAAAACTCAGAAAAAAAAAAGGAGACCAAAATTCAGAGAAGCTGCAGAACTTAYTTTAAAAGTTGCATCTTGCTGCAACATCCCAAAACCTGAAGTTGCTGTTAGTAAATGTGCCATAAAGATTTATTTTTGGAGGGGTAATTGCCTTACAAAAAACTGTAACTAGACTGAACTCCAGAAGTAACAAGGCAAAGGACATTAGACCTTTACTTCTTAGTGATTCACTCAGTTGCTTTGAACCATCAGTAAGAAATTTTCTACAGTCTGAATATTTCATTTTCATAAAACATTATTCATTTCAACACTAGTTTTTCCATTAACAGCAAGAATTCTGTGAACAGTTGACAGCACTGTTAAACTTTAGAAGTTTTAATGAGTAAATTTTTCACACATATGAGGGAATAAGGCAATTTATATGCTCTGAGTCCAAAGTGTTTCAACAAGTTCTAGGGATTCACAAGGCAAAGAGTTTGAGTAATGCACATTTTCCAAACCAGAGCTGAATAAACTCACCTTTAAATCACTGAAATATGAGGAACTACAATGATGAAAATAAAAATGATCTATGATATAAAGACAAATGGAAAATGTCAAAAGAGGAAGCTTGCAATTCCATAATTCTATAAGAATAAAGAGCAGAAGCCCTTCTTTATATACTTTCCAAGGTTTCCTCTACAACTCTGGCTGTGTCCTCTGAAGAGGGATAGGRAGAGGATGGGTAGAAACCAGGTCTTCCATCTAAGAGAAAGTTAGGATTCTGAGATTTTTTTTTTTCTTCTAAAATGGCACAAAAACTCTCTGTAGAAAAATGTGGAGAAACCAAATTTGATTAAATCAGAAGGTATCATTTAGACAAAGTCTGTGCTTCAGTTTGTTCCTGATCTCTTAAAACTTTCAGAGCTCTTTGTAATATAAGCCCTTTTGAAATGTGTTCCAAAGCTATTTGAAAAAAATAATTGTATCTCTTCCAGGAATACCAGATTATGTTTTGATCTTTCTGAAATACTTCAGCTTTTTTACTAAAACTCWATCTTGCATAGTTTCTATGATTGCATGTAAGTACATTGGCAAAATATTTAAAATCAGGAAACGTCGACTTTCATCTACAATATTCTTCAGGGAAAACCTGTGGCTGATTTCAGCCACAAAACTAAAACTTGTAAGAACAATTAAGAAGGCAGTTGCAGGACATGATTTCCATATAGCTGCCATGCAGAACTGGGAACATAATTGAGGAAAGCTTTTGAAGTGTGGGAAAGAAAAACCTCTGATGAAGAAGCGGGTTGGTGCTGTAGAAATTTCCTAATGGAAAATAAAAATTATTACATAATTATTATATGTGTATTACATAATTATATGTATATACATGTTTAGATACGTTTAAGGTGGGATGATTTTTTAAAAATGTTCTTATTTTGGGGGAAGGAGTGGTCCTTTAGAGACTGGTCCTTTGAGACTACAGCATAATGGGAGAACCTGATGGTTGCAATTACTAGTCTTCCTTTTGGAAAAGGAAGTTAAGATTGCTTGCAGAATTAGAAGGATGAAAGCACCGCGGCCTTTCTGCTTGTGGAAAGACTCGAGTGGGAGGCAAGGTTTCAGGGGATGTGATTTTCAGATCTTTTTGCGGCAGCGGCGTCTCCCAAGTGCTCATTCCCTCACGTCCATCCTCTCGCCGCTTTTCCACCTCCTTGGTCGTGCSAGCTCCGCTGTGTGCGGGCTCTGTGTAAAACCCATTAGCAGAGTGATCTGGGTGTAAAAAGCCCACATAAAAAGCCCGGGAGTAGGAAGCGATTGTTGGAGATGCTGAAGGGCGGAAAGCGCCTCAGCTGGCGCCCTCACAGAGAGCACGGGCTGCACAATTACCCTCACAGAAAGAAACATTAAAAACCGTGAGTCGGGAGAGGAGATAAAAGGGAAWGCAGCCACACAACATCTGACAACCAGGGAAATGCTTAGAAAAAGGCTGAAAGGAAAAGGCCTGCATGCGTRAGGGTAATTGGAACCAAATAAACACATCTCGCCCCTTTCGTTCCCACCCTCTGAGGGAAACAGCACTTTACGCATTCCTCCTAAACAAGCACTTTGTGAATGTGTCACTTATTTCTGCCCGGAGAGGCAAGAAAAACATCGCGCTCCGGGAATTAACCAAGAACGGAGTTTGTTTTCAACACTTCTTCCAGCCTTTTTGTTTTCCAGCTACTCACCTCAGCTCCTCCCGGGGTCTTCCAGAAGGTTCTGCGTGGCTGCACCTGCCTCACCTCAGCGCTTGCGGGCTCATAGCTCTGCGGGATCGGGATTGGGATTGGGATTGGGATCGGGATTGAGATTGGGATTGCCTTCCTGCCGCTCCCATCTCCACCGGGACTAAGCCTTCCAAAGGCTTTTAAAGGGGGTGAGGTGCTCCGGAGCCGGGAGTGGAGGAGGCATAGAGTGGGGAGCCACTGGATCTATTTGAGGCTTTAGCACCTTTTGATGAAATACTGAGGTTTCATCAAAATCAAAGCGCTCCTTCATCTTTTAAAGGGAGCACCAGGATTTCTTGCTAGCCCATTTTCCCCATTCAAGGCTACTTCCAAAGTTGCTTCTTTTCCCCATTCCAAAGTCGCTTCTTTTCCCCACTCAGGCCTGGGAGAAAAGCAAGAGAGGGAAAACACCCAATGTTTTGTGCTGTTGAGGGTTTTTGTTTTGAGGTGAGAAGCAAGTGGAGGATAATTCTCCACACAAGTTCATAGAACTGTTTAGGTGGGGAAAAAACCTTCAGGATCATTGAGTCCAGCCATTACCTAGCACTTCCAAGCTCACCATTAAACCATGTATCTGAGAGCCACATCCATGCTTGCTTTAAATATCTCCAGGGATGGTGACTCCACCATCTCCCTGGGCAGCCCATTCCAATGTTGAATCAGTATTTCTGTGAACAAATTCCACCTAATGTCCAAYCTAACCTGCTCTGGTGTGGYTTGAGGCCATTTCCTCTTGTCTTATTGCTGGTTGCCAGGGAGCAGAGTCTCTCACCCGTCTGGCTACATCCTCCTGTCAGGGCATTGTAGGGAGTGATATAAAGTCTKCCYTGAGYCTCCTTTTCTCCAGGTTAAACACCCTCAGCTCCTTCCTCATAGGACTTGTKCTCCAGACCCTTCACCAGCTTTGTTACCCTTCTGTGGATCACAAAGTTTGACAGTTAATGATAAAAGCCACTCAGCTGGACCATTTGGATTCACTGCAGAATTGCTTGGTTTCATTATAAAAACAAAATCAATATTTAAAGACTGACCTAAAGTGTGTGTGGGTTTAGTGGTGTAAAACATCTGGGTCCGAAAAAGCCTTTTATTTCAAAGCAGTAGAATTACATTGTAGAAATCAATGTGAAATCGTGATTTCTCTGATGTTACTGGAAGAGCTTTGGAGTGCCTGGAGAAAAGAAGGCAGGAAGGCAGCTGGGCTGTGCCAAAGTGAAAAGCCTGCTTTCCCAACTTCCCAAGTACAACCCAGCTGCTTCAAATCCTGCCAGCCCAGAGAGGGGCTGACGTGCAGCATTTCAGCTCTGACGGTGCTCTATAAAAAGCTCAACATCCTCTTTGTGCTCTAAAGCCACGTTGCGGTTCCCCAGTCTAAATTAAATCAAGCCTAAAAAGACTTCAGAAAGAAGTGCACCAAAAGAAAAAAAAACAAA